GGGCACTGACAAACAAATGGTCTTGGTCTCAGGACGGTTCAGTATCGCCCTCTTGTCAAACCCAAGTTTGTGTGCCAACGCACAAAGGGGCCAAACAGACTGAAACATGCATTGGGCACATGAACTTGGCTTCGACAACTCTGAGCTGTCCTGTGTTAAACACTGGGGCAAGAGAGACAGAGTTGTGTGTGTTTAAAATATACAAGTAAGAATTTGCCTTAAAACCATCCAACCAACCAAGAATAGTCGAAACAAAAAAAACATCGGAATCAAAAGAGAAACTTCCAGTGTCTGTCTCAAATTCAAGGAAGAAAACACATTTGGAGGTAGGATACTTTTAAAAAGCCAGTTCGAACATTTCAGTGGTCGAGACCATTTAGAATTAAACCCCAACTGAATAGTTAATAAACAGAGCAGCCATTTCTGCAGCACAATGAGGAGGTTTTAAGGTCAAAGCCTACATTTATCATAGGATTCCTAGGGGCACGTTGTGTCTTACTTCTGTCATTGTCCCCTCAGGCCAGAAGATGGGGGAGAGCGGCAAGCCAGGCCGGGGAATTTCTCCAGCTGAGGAATGCGAGGCCTCTTATCCCACCAAGCTCAGCGCCCAGCAGCTTCTGATAAAACTCAAGTAACACTGTCAGAAGTGGAGCCCTCGCCCGTTCGTCAAGTAAATGGCTTTCTGTTTTCACCGTTTAACAAACAGCCACTGGAAATCTATTCTGTATTTGCTACAGACCTCTGTGTGGGGTTTAGAAGAATAGATTCTTGCTCTCAAAAATCTTCAAACTCAGTAGGGAAGACTGCTCAGATGAGCCATTTTAGAGCTATACTGTTACAGAAATTGGGTAAGAGGGACAGAGAAGGGCTGAAGAGGGGACTTCATTTGTGTATGTGTGTGCAGGGGGTGGGGACTATATCATATGAATTTCTATGCAGACGTATCATAAACTATCTTATCAGGAATCACTTGGTGTGTTTCTGTGTTCTGCAGTGAACTCCCTTATATGTATATCCTGGTGATTGCTTGGGAATATATCTAGCCAATAAACTTCTGGCGCTGGAACTGCTTGGTTAAAGGGGGGACATTTCCAAATTATTTTCCAAGAAGGCAGCACCGGCCTCCTGTCCCTCCCTTCTCCTCCCTTCCGCACAGATCCTGCAGGTCCTTAGCAGCTGGCTGCAGCAAGCATCTTAAGTTTTGCCAATTCTATATGTGAAGATACTATCCTGTTGTTGTTTGGATTTGCACTGTTAGGTTTACTGGATGTTTGTATTTCTTTTTCTAGGGACTGGCAGGTGGTTCTTAGAGGGAACTTGAACTGGAGTTTCCCTCATTTTGACAACACTGTGGTAAATTGTTGTTTTCTTATCTTTCACCAGCCCCTCCCCCTATGCCTTATGCCTCAGACTAGGAGATCCAGAAACCTGGTCTTCTGGAAATCTCGCTTCCCCAGCCTCTAGTGCAGTGTTTGCCTGTGCTGGTTTCCTTTTGGCTAAATCTTATACCATCTGCCACATTTGTGACTGACTCAGCGTTACATTTCAGCCTTGCTTTCTAAAAGGGAAGGTGGGGCGGGCGTGGACTAGGTCTTTGAGAAGCTCCAAAGGAAAACAAATTGCGCCTCCTAGCCTGAGCCAGGAAGTACAACAAAGAATACTCCCTCCCCGCAACAGTAAAGGGAAAAAAAGTCAATCCTAAGTACTCCAAGCAGTGCCAAATTCTGGGCAACTTATTCAAGAGAGTTCACCATATGCAAGATGAGATAGTCCTGATGTATTTACTGGAAACCACGTTAGGGTAGGGGATTCTGATTTAGACTTTTAGACATGACTATAGTTTAGAATTCTCACCAAAATGTTTTTACTTCCAATCTAATTCAACAAATATTTACTGACCAGCTATATGTGCTGAGCATATTGGGAGAGACAGTGATCTCCAAGATTGGGCTTCTGCTCCCTTTCCCCTTCCCCCTAGATAAGATGAGCCCAGTAATCTATGCCAAGTGCCATTTTAGTGTTATGAAAAAACTGTTGATGGGGAAGGAGCAGTCACTTCCTGATCCCTGCTGACCAGGTCAAGGTCAGTGGCCCCTGACAGACAAATGGATGGGCAGACAGACTTCTTGGAGCGAGACTTGGGAAGGCAAGCTGGGGTCCCACTTGGTTTCACAAGACCTGGAGGATCTCATTTTAAAGTGCTTCTTAAGTGGATTTTGTATCTGATTGCATTCAGGCATTCTTCACAGCTCTTAATGGTTTTGAAATGGATGAAATGCAAGTGGAGGGATGAGGGAGGCCAAAGTGCAAAACCTAAGCTGTGTCAGAGATGGGTTAAGGTGCTCCAGGGAGAAGATTTCCTGTATGCAAATGACCCTGGGCCCTTTGAAGTGCACCCCACTCTGGAAACTCTGGAAACCAGGTATTTACTTGGAAGAAAGCTTCGTGGTACGTGTGACTCGATGTTCCAACAGGAATCCTAGACTCAGAGTGGCTGTGAGAAAGCATTCAGTCCCTTGTGGGTATCTGGGTGAGCTTGTGTGTGGAACCCCTTTGGAGGTGAGGCAAACATATACACCTCCCCGTGGAGAAGCTGGAGCTGTGGTCTTTGGACTGCGTTTCATGAGTTTACAAGCCCAGCTGGAACTGAATTGCATAAAAAAGTGTTGAGCTCTGAGAAAGTGGCCAGAGTTGGTAATAATAAGGCTGTTAGGAGTTGGGCTGCTTCCAGCTGTAAGGGGACACTGGGATGTGAAGACTGCAGGGCACAATCCTATCTGCTGCCCCTTGGGAGCTCAGAAACTGGAAGGTCTTTCTGGACACACTTAGCCCAGCGATACAACAATCTGCACAGAGTGAGTTTAATGCAATTATAACAATTCCTTGCATGAACATGGTACCTTTTGTATTTTAAAATATTTCCTGGTTCACATCCCTGCCTGTGGATCAGAAACAACAACTCCTGTGGAGCATGCTGAAAATATTGACCCCTGGACCCCTGTCCCAGACTTACTGAGTCAGAACTTCTGAGGGGCAGAGGGGTCTATCCAGGCCATGCCAGTGAGAAGCCAGTCCTGGGTATCACTGCACCAGACTATGCTAATTCTAGATCCTTGCCACTCACAATATGGTCTCTGGACCAGCAACTTCCACATCACCTGGAACTTGTTAGAGATACAGACTCTGAGCCCTTCTCTGGCCTCTTGAAGCAGACTCAGCATTTTAGTAAGGTCCTGGGTGGTTTGGGTGGAGGGTTGCCATGTAAAATACAGACCACTCACTTATATTTAAATTTCAGAGAAACAACAAATAATTTTTTAGTATGACTCATGTAGTATTTGAGACACCTATTAAAAAATTATTTGTTATTTATCTGAAATTCAAATGTAACTGAAAGTTATTTTCATTTGCTAAATTTCTCGATCCTGTTGAGTGCACATCATTATAGTCTGAGGACTCTGCACTATACAATGTCCTGTTCCTCCAATCAGCATCATAAAGGCATCCCATTGTATTTTTATTTTATTTTATTTTTATTTATTTATTTTTGGCTGTGTTGGGTCTTCATTGCTGCACACGGGCTTTCTCTAGTTGCGGCGAGCGGGGGCTACACTTTGTTGCGGTGCGCGGGCTTCTCATTGCGTTGGCTTCTCTTGTTGCAGAGCACGGGCTCTAGGCGCACGGGCTTCAGTAGTTGTGGCTTACGGGCTCAGTAGTTGTGGTGCACGGGCTCAGTATTTGTGGCTTGCGGGCTCTAGAGCGCAGGCTCAGTAGTTGTGGTGCACGAGCTTAGTTGCTCCATGGCATGTGGGATCTTCCCTAACCAGGGCTCGAACCTGTGTCCCCTGCATTGGCAGGTGGCTTCTTAACCACTGCACCACCAGGGAAGCCCAATCCCATTGTATTCTGAATGCATTTGTGGGAAAAAATTTTTTCCACTTAAATATGATTAAGCTTTTGAATGTTTCTCTCTCTTATAAATTGAAATGATATTCAAGTAGAATGTGAACTGAAACTGCTTTTTCAATTTATATTCTTTAATTGAGGATACCGGGAAAAAAAAAAGAAAACAAAACGCAAACTAAACATTAATTACTAAATAGGTAACTTATATTATTTATCAAAAGAGAAACATAATATGAAAATTCTATCCTAAGTAATAAAAAGCACATCTAACATTTTAGAGGTATGATTCAGTATAGTCACAAAGATTTATTTGAGCCCCACTAACTTAGTATACAATTAAAAATGGTAATTTAATTAAAATGTCAACAAACAGAAAATGTTCCATTATAGAAAATAGTCCTTCAGAAATCAAACTATTTTGTAATTAGAGTTATTATGTATATATTAGACAAAAGGTGTTTTTCTGTTTTAGGGTGAAGGTGTACGAGGAACTGTTGCCGTGAAGGGGCACCAAGGGGTTGTGTAGGCACGATTGCTGCTTATTAACTGTCATGTTGTCCCCACTGTTGGATATCATGAAAGCATATTTGCCAAAATAGTAAAATCTCTAAAGAGAACCTAAACTCACATATGTTTTAGGAAATTAATTTCTTAAATTAAATAAAATTAAGAAAAAAATGTAAGGATGAAATCAAGACCTTGGACATCTGCTTCAAATACTGAAAAAAAAAATTACATTTCCTTGGTCATATGGCTTTCTCATCCTGCTTTCAGTTTGGTTTCCAGCTTAGCGGGCTAAGAATATGTCACCCTTTGCCTTCTCTGACCTGTTTTTTTTTAGCACACTTCAGGATGTCCAATGTTGAAAGGCCCCCGCCATCTGCAGGGAGGTGCAGATAATCCCGGGTTATATGGCTCAGATTGGCCGGCACATCATTTACGCTGTGACAAGCCCTCCCCGCCCAAGTCTGTTTTGTCTCACGCTGGGCTGAGTCACATAGAATAGATAGATAGTTTATCAGCACATGTCCTACAGATCATATTATCAGCTTACAAACATAGCCCATTAGCGCACAAGCCGGGAAGCTGGGGCAGTTGGAGCGCTTCTGGCCCCAGTGTGTCGCTGCTGCGGAGTAAACAGGCTCGGATTCCACTCGGCAGGCAGCGGCAGGGGCTCAGGGCTGCAGCCCATTCACGGGTAGGTGGGCGTGGGGGGTGAGTGCGCGGCTGCTCCTGAAACTGGGGGATTGTGGGGAAGGCGAGGGTAGGGGCATGGGGCACCTGTGGAGGGGGCGGGGGACAGTGCTTCCTTGTTTATGTCTGTCCCTGCTGTGCTGAGGCTTGACAGGGGTGAACCTCCCAAACGAACACGGATTGAGGATTATGCAGGGCCTGGAATTGAATGGGGAAGGAGAGCCTGTGAGCGGGCAGGTCTAGGTAGCCGGGCTGCTGCTGTGGCCGGGTCTCCACACTCCGGCTCTTGTTAGTGGGTTACTCCCAGCACCACCCTTGTTCCCAAGGCTGAGCTCAAAACTTCCTGGTCTACAGTGCTGTCCAGGGGTGATAAATCAACTCTGTTTGTGCTTCTTCAGTGCCCTGAAAGGGATGATTGACATCTGGCTGGGGAAGTCTGTCCTCCAGGAGAGGCGTGGGAGTGAGGGTGGGAAAGTGATTAGAAACCCGGAAGAGAATTGTCTGGTTTTGTAAGCAGTTTGACTGTGCTGGCGGCTCTTCTTTTATACATACATACATACATATATATATATATATTTTTTTTTTGCTGGGGGGTCTGCGTTGGGTCTTCGTTGCTGCGCACGGGCTTTCTCTAGTTGCCACAAGCAGGTGCTACTCTTTTTTGCTGTGCACGGGCTTCTCATTGCGGTGGCTTCTCTTTGTTGCAGAGCACAGGCTCTAGACACGCGGGCTTCAGTAGTTGTGGTTCGTGGGCTCTAGAGCGCAGGCTCAGTAATTGTGGCGCACGGGCTTAGTTGCTCTGCCGCAGGTGGGATCTTCCCGGACCAGGGCTCGAATCCGTGTCCCCTGCATTGGCAGGTGGATTCTTAACCACTGCGTGGCGGCTCTTCTGATGGACCAAATCCTCTCCCATAACTTAGGAGCTGGGTGTTCTCCCATAGAACCTCTGTAACCATACCTGATAGAGAAAAATCCCCAGATGCTTATGTACCTTTTGTTCTTATATATAACTGGGAACAATGTCTGTCTTAATTTCTTTTTTTTCTTTAAATAACTGACATTTTTTGAGGTTTACTAGGTGCCAGGTACTGTCTTAAGCACGTGACACAAATTATCACGCGTGATCCTTCCACTAATCCTATGAGCTCAGTGCTGCTCTCACACCGTGTCCAGATGAGAACACCGAGGTTCAGAGAGGTTAGGTAGCCGTCTCAGGGACATGCAGGCGGGGGAGGCAGGACTCCAGCCCTGAGACTGTCCTGACCCTGAGACTGTCCTCTTAATCGTGTCTGGAGCCTCTGCCTCCCTTGGCCAGATTTTCTAGTTTAACAAATTACCGTAAAATAATGTGTGTCCCCAGGGGAACACTGATCAGGTGACATAAAATGTAATTTAATTTAGAATTTGGCTGAAATATTGTGACTACTGTTACTGACCTCACTTGAATATTTACCCTCTATTTCCTCCACTGTTTCTATCAGAAAACTCACTCTGCGTTCCAACTCTGGGGTCCAGGCAGTGGCCTTATGTGAGGATAGAAAGGAATTTGTGGGCCATTAAAGCCCCACTGTACCTCCACTGTACCTTGGTGTCACCAGAAGTTCCCATTGGTTACAGTCATTCCTCTGGATCCAGCAAGGCTGATGATAGTTGTCTTCTGCACCTGGCAGATACACCTGGAAAATGCTGTGGAAGGCCTGGAGCTGATCATTCCAAAGGGAAGACGGATCTGGGGGGCTCTAAGGGACAGGTGGGGAGGAGGGGAGCCAGGCCTCTCTCCCCATGGCTGGTCCAGGTGACCCCCTGGCACCAGCTCCATGCCCTTCTCCCCTCACCCCCTCTGCTGCTGTCCCCCTCCCAGCCTCGCAGAGGGAGAACCAAGGATGGCTTGGCACCTGTATTGTGGACTTCGTTGAGTCTCCTCCCAGACTCTCCCAGGGCCTTCACACCTCAAATTCTCTGAGATATAAGCCCTGTACCCCACCCCCGTCCTCTTCCAGCCCAGCCTGTCATTTGACAAGAAGTGAGAGGACTAGGTGGCCAGAAAGTACCCCCTCCCACCTGGAACCCTGGCATATGATTCTAAGTGGAGACTAGTGTTCTGCTGCCAAAGGATATGTTTTTCCAGTCATGTCCTCTGGCTCGGGATCGCAGATGGTTCTGTAAAGTGATTCTGATATACCTGGCTTGGGGAGGGAGCATGGAAAACTATTCGATCAAACCCAGAAGAGTGGTCCTTTGGCCTTCCTCACAGTCCCTGCAGGACTCTCCCTGACCCCCTACTCCCACCCCCCATCACGCACTGGAGGGCATCTCTCCTCTTCTGGCTTGCACAGCAGCTCCTTCAGTCTCTGTTGTCGAATCCACATGCTGCATTGAAATGTATCCCTTTAAACTTCTGTTCGCCCCTCCAGACTGAGAGCTCAGAGGCAAGGACATTCATCTTTCTGCATTTAATGAGTGTCCCCAGATGTCAGTCATTTAGGGTTCCTGGGAATCAAAGAACAGAAATACATACCAAGTAAACTGGCTCCATACCCAGGGTTTCTGGGTTGAGGCTCAGAAGTGGGAGCCTGGCGTCTGTTACTGTGTGACCTAGTGTCAGTGGCTGACTTGAGGGGCCAGGCTCTGAGCCCAAGTCTGGGGCCCCTCAGGTGGTTGCTCCCGTCAGGAAACCGTGGTTCCGTCCATGGACAGATAAAGTATAATTAAACAAACGGTCAAATGATTCAACTTGTATTATGTGCTGTGAAGTAAGTATGCAACAGTCTGAGAGAGAGAGTAGCAGGAGGTGCTACCTTAGATGAAGAGGCAGGGGAGGCCACGCTGAGGAGGGAATGCAGAAGTTGAATTCCGGGGTGTCAGGGTGGGGAGAGTCGTGTCAATGGGGGCAACGTCTAGGCAGAGGGAGCAGCGTTTGCAGGGTCTGAGGTGGGAAGAAGCAGGTGGTGGACGGGCTCGGAGGGGGAGAGCAGTGGCGGTGAGTGGGAGGGGCTGTCTGAGGGCAGGTCGTGCCAGCGTCTTACTGGGCCCTGTGAGGAGCTGGGATCTCCCTCTCATTCCAAGTCCTGGAGGACTTGGGCCAGGTGGCAGCATGATCCAGTTCTCTTTGGCGATGGTGATGCTCACCGTCGTGTAGCAAATGGATTGGATGTGGGTGAGTGGGAAGTCAGGAGACCAGCTGAGAGGCTTTTGCACAACTGAGGCCAGATGTGGCAGAAATTGGTGGTGAGAAACACATATGCCCCTACAGAATAAATTAGATGTGTGAATGAGTGTGTGTGTGTGTGTGTGTGTGTGTGTGTGTGTGTCCATGTCCATATATTGGGTGGTCAGGGTGAGCAAACAGAAAGCATAAAGGAGTGACCTCCAGATAAATATGGAGTCATTGTCGAGATGGGGAATTAAGGCAGACAGGGATGGATAGATTCTCAATGAGTAAGTTTGGAGGGGGTCATGTTTCTTTTGAGATATGCATGAGATATCCAAGTGGGTATGTCAAGGAAGCAGCTGGATATAGACACGAGATGTCACTGTAAATTAAGACTGATTTTTGTAAGTGCCTCTTATTTTACTGTTCACTTTATTAGTTATTTATTGCTGCATAAAAATTACCCCAGCACTTAACATCTTCAAATGATAAACACTTGTTATCCCACAGCTTCTAAGGGTCAGAAACCTGGTTTCTGGCTCAGCTTCTGGCTCAGGGTCTTTCATGAGGTCTAGATTTTGGCCAGGGCTACAGTCATCTGAAGGCTTGACTGGGGCTTTAGGATCTGCTGTTAAGACAGCGTCCACCCACACGGCTGTTGGCAGGAGGCCGCAGTTTCTCTCCACCGGAAGCTTCTCCATAGAGCGGCTTGAGCATCCTCAGGACATCGTGGCTGGCTTTCCCCAGAGTGAGTACTCCGAGAGAGAGAGCAATACCTTATGGGACTGAGTCTCAGAAGTCACACACCATCACTTTCACCACATTATGTTCATTAGAAGTGAGTCACTAAGTCCAGCCCAAGCTCAAGGAGAGAGGAATTAAGCTCTACCTTTTTAGAGGGAAGAATGTCAAAGAATTGTGCATATAATTTAAAGCCATCACATCCACCAAAGCTTTTTTTCCAGGAAAAAAAAGGCATTTTTGGGAGCAGAGGAGAGGCAGATTCAGGGACAGATGCAGTTGCCACTCACTTAGCACCTTGGGGGAATGAAAGCTGCGGCCATTTATTGTTCACGAAAGCTGGGATTAGCAAATGATCACTCTCAGGCCTGGCACTGCCAGAGCAGGCTAGCACTGTGAGCCATGGGGACCAAACTGGAGTAACCCCCTCCGTCCCCATTCCCCCAGACTCTCAGCACCTGTCTACCTGGCCAGCTGTATCTCACTGCTGCCCAAGGCCTGCGCTGGTTGCCATTCACATATTGGAAACTCTACTGTTGGCAACTGCCAGGCACCAAGCAGTCAAATCTCTGTGCAAAAGCTGGTGACTTACCAGCTGCCCAACTTGAGGTGAGTGGGAGGAGAGGACACACAGGCACCTGGGTGTCACTGGGGCAGAGAGCGAAGCTGACTGTAGCAGGTCCCCCCTCGCCTGCTCCGTGCTCATGGCCTGCCAGGCCTTTCCCTCTTGGGCCCGTTGCTCTTGTCCTGAGAATGTCTCCAGTAGGCGGCAACTGGGCGGAAGCATGGACGCAGGGTCAGTGCTCAGGCAGGCCCACCCCAGGCAAGCAGGGAGGCCAAGAGTTTTCTCTTTTGTTATGTGAGTATTGTACTTACATAAAATATTTACTATCTTGCCCTTTACTAAAAAAGTTTGCTGACCCTTGCAATAAAGCAAACAGTTTTTCCAGGAAAATTTTTTTTTTCCTCTGTGAATCCAACCTTTGAGAGTCTCTGATTGTTGACATTTCATTCAGAACCTGAAACACTCGGCACTGGAGGGGAATGAACCTGACCGTACTCTGTGCCAGTGTCCTTTCTGTTGCAGTGAGGGACACCGCGGTTCCCTCCTT